TCCATCTACATGAGCACATAGATAAATGCCCATGAACAGCTGTTTTTTTAGAGTGTTATCTTTTAAATGAGACAAAAGCTTTTAATTTACTTTGGGTAAATGTTGTTTTTAGGCGTTTTTAGGTACTTTTACATACATGGTAAGATGTTAAAGAATAGAAACAAAATCTCTAACACAATATATGGATTAGAAAATGTATTTATAGGTATATACATATTAAAAATAAAATAAAAATAGAATATAATTCAATATATAACAATATAGATAGAAGTAAATGTATGCTACAGTATGTGACCGACAGTGTAACGAATAATAATAATTATAAGTACTGATAATGTTAATTTTGAGCTCCTGAAAGGTTGCAGTAATACAAAGAATATTGCACAACAGCTAACAGGATATTACTGGCCACCACAGGCTCACAAAGCATCCTCAGCATTGTCCGGCAGATGGTGAAGGACCTCAGCATCCTCAGAAAAATAGAGCCGGCTCTGGCCCTTCCTGTAGAGCTCTATTGTCCAGTTTATTGTCCATGTGAACTCCCGGGTACTTGTAGTCAGTGAGTACAGTGACCCCCCTGGAAGGAAACAGGGGTCAGTGGAGCCTTGGCCTTCCTCAGATCCAAAACCAGCTCCTTTGTCTTTGTTATGTTGAACTGCAGATGACTTTCTATCCCATAATGTTGAGTTTTTATCTAAGAATTTAGATTTTCTTTTATCAATTTATCATTACCTCTATTATTTCACCTACTTTATTATTTTATAATAAATTAATAAATTAATAAAATAATCCTACTTTATTAATTCATATCATTACCTCTATTATTTCACCTACTTTATTATTTTATAATAAATTAATAAAATAATAAAATAATCCTACTTTATTAATTCATATCATTACCTCTATTATTTCCACCTACTTTATTTTATTCCCTCTCTATTATTTCAACAACTTTATTTTATTCCCTCTCTATTATTTCACCAACTTTATTTTATTCCCTCTCTATTATTTCACCTACTTTATTTTATTCCCTCTCTATTATTTCACCTACTTTATGAATTTATATCGTTACCTCTATTATTTCACATACTTTATGAATTTACATCATTACCTCTATTTTTCACCTACTTTATTATTAATTATTATTATTATTATTATTATTATTGTTATTTATTATTATTATTATTATTAAATATTATTATTATTATTATTTATAATAATAATAATTATTATTATAAATAATTATTATTATTTATAATAATAATAATTATTATTATAAATAATTATTATTATTATTATTATTATTATTATTATTATTAAATAATATTATAATAATTATTATTATTATTTATTTTATAATTCTTCGGGATTATAAATCGTATTCTTGTATAAACCATGTTTTTAAAAGCGCTATACAAATTAAAAGTTATTATTAAGATGACCCCCGCACGGACCCCCGCACGGACCCCCGCACGGACCCGGTGTCTGCGGGGCGAGCACCGCGCGCGTCTCCGTGTCGCGCGGATTAAGCTCACGCACTCGTCTCGAGCCCGTGAGCGCGCCGGCGGTGGTGACAGTCGCCATCTTATTTTGAAAATCAAACAGACTCGGAGGCACAGCGACTTCTTCCATTTCGGTCAAGTTTGTTGTGAGAAAACAAGACGGGATGAACATCTGATTCACTTTCATGGGAGCACGGTGAGGCTTTCATATCGCAGCGTGTTAAAAACCGTCGACAGGTTTAACGTTTAACTCGTAAATAGCGTTTTTAACAGCGGAGGATGGTCGTTAGCCACCACCGCGGGGGGCGTCTATGTGCTGGAAAGCAGCTGTCATACTGCTCACATCCTGAAAGTAACAATTCGTTAATTTAGCAGCGTTTCGTGCGCGATGTAGGTGGCTATATATATATATATGTTTGTTTTATTGTGGCTTGAGTCCGTATTGACACCGGCTGCGTCTAACGTTTGCGCTACAAGGCAGAAAGTGATTCCTTAGATTAGCCGGAGCCGAGCGAATGAGCTAAGCAGCTAACGTTAGCTCCCCCATCCGCAGTACTCGCGGCCTTCTTCCCCCGCGGCCAAAACATGTGTGTATAATCATTTTAAAGCATTTTTTAGAATCGATCAAGTTGTCCAAAACATTATCGGTTAGTTTCACGTAAAAGGAATCGGACTAAATGATGTTTTTTTGCTGATTCAGACGCCGGAGAAGGGAGACGGAGCTCACGTTGGCTCGTCCGATGCTAATTAGCCTCACAGGGAGTTGGGAACATTTCACAAAAGGTTAAAGTTAAAAGGTATCGATCCCGGGTGGGTTGTGCTTTAATCGACACACACACCAACACGGGTTATTGGGTGAAAGTGTGCCCGGTAAACGGCGGCGTGTAACCGGGGTTTTTTAACGGTTTTAAACGTTAACGGAACAGCTCAGTAAACATGTTCGTTAACTTCATCTTGCCAGCGTCATGGCGACGTTAGCTCGCGTAGCTAAGGTTGCTCTCCCCCCTCTCTCCCTCCCTTCCTCCCTACCTCCCCCCCAAAGCGTCCTAACCGGAGTTGCAGTTTGTTTTTAAACCACGAAGGAACCGAAACCGCACTTTCCTGCAGCTGTGCGGGTGAAGCGAAGCCCCCCGGTTAACGCGCAGAACCGTGCGGGTCGGGCGGAGCTGACTTCGCGTTAGCTCCGCTCTTTGTTTCGGACACTTGCTGTTGAAACTGTGCAGAAAAAACGCTTCAGCTGCTCTGAATGTTTCCTACTTTCTGTCGTGCTTCGAGCTGCTTGTGGTAGGTGTGTGTTTCTGTGAGCGGAGGAGTTAGTTCACTTAACTTTTAGGGGTTTTTCTTTTTTTAAAATATGTGTAAGATGTTGAGGCCTACAAGCGACTGGGGGAGGAAGTTTATGTGACTTTGATGTTTCCCAGAAGATACGAGTGTGAAACTACCTCACTTTAACGCATATTAACCGTGTTTTGGGGGGTTTATTAGCAGACACTGATATATTTCACTGCACATCTTGGTTTGTTTGCACTTAGGCCTCAAAAGCCCGTCACAATATTGTGTGTTGCTGTAAATATTGGGGCTCCACAACGCGGTAAAAACATCATATTGTGATTGTTCAGACTGATGCTGAGATACGATCAGTCTGCCAAAGATCAGTTTTTGCTTCTCGCATTTAATTTTCGCTGCAAAAACTCTTTAAAATCGTTTCCGCACGAAACAAACGTGTTTTTCTGACACCAGATTTGTAGTTTTCGTTCCTTTCGCAGCAACTTTTTCTGTGTTTCTAAACTTTCTTTTTGTTCTTTTTCTTACAGATGCTGAACTTGATTCTAAACTGAAGGAGCACCGGGGGGCCACTGATCCGAAATCTCATTTGGAAGACAACATTTTTTCACACCTTTTTGGGGGGGGGGAGCAGAAGTAACCTATCACTGCAGTGACTAAAGGGGAATAATGGTGATTTTGCGCCGTGCTCGGCCGCCTGCTTCC